CAGGGCAAGTTTGGGCCCCCGAAGGATCAACAGCTTTCAAGTGTCTCATCTCGGCCAGGTTCTGTGCAGCCCTCCTGAGCAACATCTCTGATTGCGATGAGACCTTCAACTACTGGGAACCGGTGAGTGGCTTCGTGCCCTTGGGATTTGGCAGCGTGTACCTGGCCAGTGCACATGCAGGTTTATTTAGAAACCCGTGCCAGTCTCTCAGAGAGGAATTTTCGTACTCAGGGATTGGGAGGTGGGAGATGGGAAGCTGTCTGATGCATGTTGATTTATTTCTTGATTTAATCCTCACTGCAGACACACTACCTCATTTATGGGAAGGGGTTTCAGACCTGGGAATACTCCCCAGCCTATGCCATCCGCTCCTACGCTTACCTGTGGCTCCATGCCTTACCAGCCTGGTTCCATGCTCGAGTCCTGCAAACCAACAAGGTAAATCACGTGCGTGGAACCTGCTTTTGTGGGGAATAAACAGTGCCTTTAGTCTGCGTGAAAACAACCGCTTTGTTTGTTGTCGGAGAGTTCGTGTTTACAAAACTCTCCCTGGTTGACAAACACCGACCTCCCTGGGAGGGTTTCGGAGGGTTCGTGAGTTTCCCCCGATGCTTTACAAGCCCGGTTTGTGTCCCGTGCCTTCCTCACGCTCCAACCATGTCTCCTAGGTCCTTATCTTCTATTTCCTCCGATGCTTCCTGGCCTTCCTGAGCTGCATTTGTGAACTCTACTTCTACAAGTGAGTGTTAGAGCCTGTCTGCAGTGAGTGTTTTGAGTGCCATGCACGGGAAATACGCTTTGAAGCTCCTGTGTGGATTGGGCTGCTTAAAAGTGAACCTTGAAAATACGTGTTCTCATGATAACTTAATGGAATACTGGTGAGAATTCCACAATTAGGACAAAACTGTACTCTCAGAGCTGCCACCCACATCTCCACTCCAGCATTTTGCTGACTACACTCGTTTTCTCACCGACAGCAGCAAGCAGGGTGGGAGTGTTGTAGACTGAGCTCTGCTGGAGGAGAGTCTGGTGCTGTGTTTGCTTACCATAGTGAATTTTACTGGAACACATTAATTGTTGCTGTGTGTAATCCATCTGCCAGTGCTGTTTACATCCACTAAAAGCAGTAAATCCTTAACATACAATTATCTTGTCTAAGCTGGGTTAGACTCTGCCTCTTCGTTTGTGATTTTCAGACTGTTACCTCGCATTTTTTCTGTTGGGAATAATCTGATTTTAAGGATCTTTTCTGTGTCCGTTTCCCTCTTGCTTCCTCAGGGCTGTGTGCAAGAAGTTTGGGCTGCATGTGAGCAGGCTGATGTTGGCCTTCCTGGTGCTCAGCACGGGGATGTTCTGTGCTTCTGCAGGTAGGTTTGCTTGTAGCAGTGACTCTGACAGTGACCTTGTCCCTGGAAACCAGAGGCAGGGCCAGAGAGAAGAGAGGCCTCAGCTGTAACAGGTCTCTAACATTGTGTTATGGATCTCTAGTCTGTGTTTGTTGTGGTTGTGTTCTGCTGGAGGTGTTTCTCACGGCAGGTGTGACAGAATAAGTGTTGATTCACATTATGTTTTCTGTGTCGCTCTCTTACATGTTTCAGTTTCCTCTTTGTTTCCTGCTTGTTTCTGTTGCTGCCTCCTGTCTCCTGGCTGTGCCTCTTAAACAGGGGCTTGGCCTGCCTTCCTTGGACATATTTTAACCTAAGGAAGGAGGCTCCTATTTTGGCACTGCCACTTGCCTTTGTGTCCTGTCCCCTCTTTCCCAGCCACTGGGAGGCCTGTGTAAAACCCCTGCTGTAGGTATGGAGTGTGAGGAAGCTGGGCTGACCCCTTTCCTCCCTTGTGCTGCAGCCTTCCTGCCCAGCAGTTTCTGCATGTACACCACGGTGGTTGCCATGACTGGCTGGTACATGGACAAGACCTCTGTGGCAGTGCTGGGGGTGGCTGCTGGAGCCCTCCTGGGCTGGCCCTTCAGCGCAGCTCTGGGGTAAGAAAAGCTGGGGAGTTTTGCACTTTGTCAGATATTTTTTTTGCCTGTTTGGGGAGAATGCAGGGATGGAGAGCTGGAGGAAAAAACTCTCAGGGCCTGCCTGAACCTAGTCCGTGCTACGGGCTTCCATAGCCCGAGTTCTTTACTTCTGGAGGACTTGGGTTGGGAAGATTTCCTGATATTAATACACTGGGAGAGTAAACCCTGAGTTGGATGGCTGGATGTGGAGTAGAAGCAGAGGCCAGTGAAGGGATGGTTCTCTCTCAGCTTGCTTTGGAGGGCAGGAGAACCTGCAGTGGGGAAAGCCAAGGTCTCCAGCTGACAGCTGGTCTCTCTTTCAGGCTTCCTATTGCCTTTGACTTGTTGATACTGAAGCAGAGGTGGAAGAGTTTCCTGAACTGGTGTGTGGTGTCACTGATCCTGTTTTTGGTAAGTGCCTGAAGCAATGCAGAGAGGGAATGGATTGGGCTTGTGACAGGAGGGATGAATTCCGTCAGGAAAATCACATGGAGCTTTAGTGCAGGCCAGCCAAAAGCTCCTGGCACTTTAACTAACAGCTGCTTTCTTCCAGGTGCCCTTGGTGGTGGTGGACAGCTATTACTATGGGAAGCTGGTGGTTGCACCTCTCAACATTGTTTTATACAATGTCTTCACCCCTCACGGGCCTGATCTCTACGGTGAGTTTAAGATAACAAGCCAAGAAGGGAGTTGGGAGTTTTTCTTGCTACTGTGACTCCCCCCCCAGCTCTTGATTGCCAACCCTTTTTCTGATGTACCCTGGAGCAAAAGCTGCCTGCAAGCTCCAAAGGCTGCAGCTCCAGCTTCTGGACACGGGATGTCTCTCTCGAGCTGGGAATCCACAGGCCACTGTCGGGTTTCTCCACGTGAGCTGGTGCTGCTTTTGTTCACTTCCCAGCTCTGCAAACCACCGTGAGGTGTCTCAGTGTCACAGCAGAGGGCTGGCAGTGCGTGGCTGCTGAGTGGGCACAAGGGATACCTGTGTGTGTTTGTGAGATTTGATGGAGTTCCTGGCTGTTGCTCCTCACAGCCAGGGTGCAGAAACCTTGGAAAAGCAGGTGGCAGTGCAGAATCAGTAGTTTTTTCCAGTTCACATTGTGTGTCTGCAGTCCCAAGCCCATGCTGTGCCTTGGGAATCCCTTTGCTCTTTGGCAGTGTGTGGCCTGGGCTTTGCTGGAAAGTGGGATCTGAGGGTGCCATAAGGCAAATATCTGCCTGCAGGGGGTTCCCTGATAACTGTGGGACCCAAATCCCAGCTCTGAGCCTCCAAGGCAGTGCTGGGAGTGCTGTTTGGGAGCTGCCACTGTGCTCAGTTGTCCATGAAGAGTAAGGAAAATATTCCATTTCTTGCAGGGCTCCAGAGGGGCTGGGGGAGACCTCAGGGTTCAGGGTCCCTGCATCATCCCTGTCCTCTGAGCCCAGCCCAGTCTGAGCTGTTCCTGGAGGGGTTCAGCAGTGCTCAGCAGCAGCCAGGCTCTCTCTGGCAGTGCTCTGCAGCCACATTTGCTGGTTCATTGGCAGGGCTGTTCTGGATGGTGCTGAGTGGTGATTTGTCACTTGTGCTGTGGCACAGCAGGGCAGCAGCTGCTTTGCCACGGTTCCTCCTCTCTGCAGGAGGGCTCTGGAGGCTGTTGCTGTGAGTTTTCTATAAGTAAACTCCAGGCCCTGTCTCTCTGATAGGTTTTGGCATGGGCCTGTGCCTGACCTTTTCCACACTGGTGCATGAGTTGTTTCCAGAAGCCTCCAGGGACCAATGTGTTCTGAAGTGTTTTATTCATGGTGACATTCATATAACATCCTCAGGCTAGTTAAAGAGCCTGCTTGAAATTGCTCTTTAATGCAGAGTGGCCAGGACAACGCTGTGTGTTTAGAGAGCCTCGAAACACTGGGGAGAAATAACCCCCCCAGGGGAGGTGAGGGGCTGGCCAGTCCCTCCAGGCTTTGGAGCTGGGATTTCCCAGCTTTCACATGATGGGAGCAGAGTGACCAGCCCCCAGCATCTTCAGTGTTTTGGAGACAAGGTTCAACTTCTTATTTTTCTTTTGTCTTTAGCAATACACTCCTTCTACATAAACACTGGCTGTGTTAGTATTTCCCTGGGGGAATTAGGTTTCTACAGCCAAGGGAGAGCAGTTTCTAAGCCTGATTCTGAGACTTTGTGAGGTTTTTGCCTGCATGTGTTCTAAGAAATCCCAATTTGTGACCAGAGTTTTGCCCCACTTTCTGTGCCTGGAGCCTCAGCTGTGACTTGCAGTGTGATGGCACTTTGGGGAGCTTTGTTCAGCTTGGGCTGTTGATGTGACACCTTTGCTCTGCTGGGTCCTGGTTCTTCAACAGAGTGAAAATAAATGAAAAGCAGCAAGCAAAGTGTTTGTTATACTAGCACTGAATCAGGCTTGCTTAGAATGAGGGCTGTGACTCATGAGCAAATTATTGCAGCTTAGTTACTGCTGAAGAGCTGAGCTGCAGCTCCTGCCTGCACCCAGGCTGGGCCCAGCACAGGGTGGGGCAGCTGAGCCTAAGCCTATTTTACAACTGCACTGCTCTGCCCTCCCCATTGCTGTGGTCGAGGTGGTTTGTCCAGTTCCATCACCTTGGGTGGGAGTTGGATCTCCAGGGTTGCTCCTGGAGCCTGTCAGGTCTCAAAGGACAAAGCATTGCCTGGCTCAGTGCCTGACAGTGCTTCCAGCTGGTTATCCCCATGGAGCCACTGTGCCAGGAGCTGGCTGGGCCACAGTGTTCTTCCCACTGCCTTCATCAGTCCCTCTCCTACAGCTCTGGGGGACACTTGCAGGAACTTCCCTCTCCTGTCCTGCTCTGGAAGCACATTCCCATCACTTCTGTGCGTGGAGAGTTCCTCAGTGTCCCTCCATGCTTGAAGGATGCTGTTCTGGGTCAGGACTCCTCGTGTGCACTGGGGTTTTTCTTTTTTCACGCTGCAGTTCCCTCTCAGTTCACCTTGAGTCGTGTGGATAACAGGAATAAAAGCATTTTGCCCTGGGAGGCATCGAGCCTGAATGGCTCTGAATGGGTGAGTCACCACCACCCAGCCTATTGCTTTTTGCCTGCTGTGCACTGCTCTCCTCTCTCTTTTTCTTTTTCTTTTTTTATTATTTTTTTTCTCCTCTCCAGAGAAGAAAATCCCTCATTGGAGAAGGAGGGAAGGCTCCAGTGCTTAGTTTTTAAGGACAATTCAGTCACACTGCAAAGAAAAAAAATGTGGAGAAAGTAGCCTTTTTCCCTTAAAGCTGTGCTTCCCACCAGCTGATCTCTTTATTAGCAGCATCCCTCAGGGGTGTGTTTGGATTATGGATTATTCATGAAGTGCCCTTCACTCTTGATCCCCAGGCTGCCAAGACTAGAAAGAGCCCATTTCCTTTGCTTTCCACAGGGCAGGTAGAAGGGTGACTGCGTGGTCCCTGCTGCTATCCTTTAAAGATTTGGGGGTTACCTATAACTGCTGTTTGCTTTCAGTGCTAATAACTGAAGGTTTCCTATATGAACCTCATAGAGGTTGCTTGGGCTTGGCCTCAGTGACTCCAGGGATGTTTTATGGCATTCTTGGTGCAGCTTCTGCTCGAATTTGGCTGTGGGAGCTGCAGAGGGTTCAGATGTGGCTGTGGGAGCTGCAGAGGGTTCAGGTTTGGCTGTGGGAGCTGCAGAGGGTT